AGGGTATATCCTGATATCTTTTATTTGTTGTTGATGATGTTATTGACTGATTCCTAGTCAAAGTGAGCAGATATGATCTATTTTTCAGTGTGATAATAAATGCTATTACAAAAGCTAGTTCAGTTTTGTCTTTTTACTACAGATGCAGTCCTTATGATTGTGCTGAAAAACAGTAGTAAATCTGGTCTTAAAAGTTGTTCATTTATCAAGATCATAACAATACTAATAACAGGATCCAACAAAAATGATAGGTCATCATGTTTGCTCAGTTTTGATATCACAAGATTTTTCAGAATCTGTTTATTTGTTTGATATAGTCAAAAAAATGATGTACTCTTAAAACATTTGATCTCAATTGTATTTAGATGTTTTGTATTTTAAAACCAAGATGGAATCGTTTGAGGTTGAGTTTTGTCAAATGATTGAACTGCTGGCCAATAAGGTGTAATTTGATTTAAAGAAATGAAAAAATAAAACTTTTGTGTTTCAACATGCTACCCTAGTAAAATTTACAAAAGTAAAAGAATTCATTTTGCCAATTTGAACACAAATGCCTGTTACTGAATGCAATGAGGTTGACATATTGACACACCTCCACTTGTATCCAACTTACCAGTACTTGTGTAATCACCAGCTTTTCTGTATTCTACTCAGTGCCAGTAGTCTTGTTAATGATTGCACTCACCAAGTCCCCATGGAGCTAGTGTGTACCAGCTAGCACAATAAATTGTAAATGAACCTTGAGTTTCATAAAAACTGGCTCAGAAAGCATCTTTTTGATTGTGGTAGTTGTGCTTGGCTAGCAATATTTGCATGGTTGGTCCATCCAAGGAGATGAATTCTGCACATTCAGATTCAATGTTCAAAATGTAGCTCACTGGTCCAGCTGATACTGTTTGAGATACAACAACCTCTGGTAAAGCAGGATTCTTTGATATAATTCACATTTAAGTACTAATTCTCTTTCCTTTTTTCTTTCTTTATCTTTGTTCAGAACATCATATACTATCACGAAATGTAGAAATTACATTTTCAATAATAATAATATGGGACCTAAAGCTCTCTTCTGGAACAGAAGATGATTATTTATATGACATTGCCAACATTTGAACTGAGCATCGGTGGAGCTTAGATTCCCAGTAACCCATATAAATCACTTCTACTAGTTTTTTTTATACAACTCAAATAAAGTAGACATGCTAAGAGATAAACCAAATTAATCCCTCACTCAATCATAAAATAGCTTTAAACTGCAACTTTTTCATATTTTTAGTTGTAAATTTGACCATCTTATCTGCCCTGTTTATATACTTCTAGAAAGCTAGCAGAAAATCTGTTCAAATATTATTTTTCAGGTAATGTGAAACAACTTCTTTGGTATTTCTCTTAGCTATTATATTTGAAACTATATGGTGGCATTTGGTCAGCTTTTGTGTCCAAAAGAATGATTTAAATGCATCTTAAAAAGGATAGTCTGTGGTTGATACAGTAGATTAAATAATTGAGTGTAAAAAAAAATATGTGTGAGTGGGGGGGGGGGGGGGATATATTAGCTGATATGAATTATATGAACCTAGTTTATCAAGCTATGTTAATTAAAGCTCAATTCACAATATATATATTGTTCATCCTGTCACATGACTCATTCAACTCAACCTTATTATGGTACTGTAGGTCATGTCCTGAAAATCATGACTTTCTACACAATCTAATGAACTCACAGTGTTGTTGAATGATCGAAAGTTCATAACTAAAAAAAAAAAAAAGAATTAATAATGTTCTTGAACTTGTGCCAAATGGGGAGAAACATAAACTGAATAAAAAAAAAAAGCAATAAGCTATCTTGGATGGGTTTGCTGTTATTCATTGTCTTTTATTGTGCTGTTAACACTAGATCAGAAAGTTTGTCTGCTAAAATACACCCAAAAGAATTAAAAAGTCGGATTTTATTACCACTCGGCACCTTGTCAATGACATTCATAACCTTCTATATCATCAATATTGCAAATGAACCCTCGCACGTAATTTGTTCATTGATCAGTCCCATCTTAAAGGTTATTTCTAGAAGTTCTGAGGACCACATGGATGTACTAGTGTTATAATGATAAATTGCTCTCCTGGTAATATAAACATATTTAATATTTTCCTTAAAACACATGCAAGGTACTGATGAAGAACTCTGGTTTTTGACAAAAAAACATCTCATATATCCCAAGCAATCTTCATTTTTTTCAAGGTGTTTGGCCACATCTGCTGTGTTTAGCAGTCTGAACAAATATTTGTCAATTGAAATCATGACAAAAATAATTAAATAATTATAACCTTGATGTTTATTCCCTTTTTAAAAAGCACAGACAAAATATAATATATTAAGTGATTTGACGCTATAAAAAATACTGCACAGTGAATGTGAAGAGGTCTACATACACCCAAAATCTTCCTTGATCTACTTTAGGCACATAAATATATGTATTTCAACAAAATCATAAAATATTTATATATAAATAAGAATGTTATTCTACATAAACAGAACTGAATTGTACATAAAGTGTACGTCGTGGAAAATGGTTATATTTTTCTATAGAAATGCATTTACCTGGAAAATGGTTATATTTTTCTATAGAAATGCATTTACCTGGTATATATTTTCATTTTTTAAATTGAAATGATCAACCAAATGGCCTAACACATACTGTTTGGGTGCAACCTATTTTCTCCTACTTCCTTCACCCAGTTGGCATATGGACTAGTGAAATGACATGTATACACCTAATGATTCTGCATAACTTTGAAAAGTTAAACCATTATGCTGATATGAAAGAAGTGAGTCAAGCTTACTCGAAAAATATGTCATAACAGCACAAAAGCATGGCATAAGAGTTGTTAAGATGCCTGACACTGATAGATGTGTATCCTGTCAATGACATATTCTATTATGCATAATTTCCATCCTAATTTTTTATCTTTTTGCTGTGCCAAAATTTAATATTAATTAGATTTCAATATGAATCAAACTATCAATATCAGTGGAGACAGTTGCTTAGCGGGCAAATTTTTATACAATGCAATGGAAAATCATGTAACAGAGTGCACATTGCATGGAAATGAAAATGACAGAAAAAAGTCAAATTTCCCTTCGTGTAGTGTAGTGTAGTGGACTACATTTCTTTGGGTTTCCATGTAATTCATACACATTTTTCAAAGCAACTCCCAGTTTCATTTCCTCCTGACAGTAATATCTTGTGTACATATAATCAGATCTTTTCATTTGTTTTGAAGGAGTTCAATAAGATAAAGCTCACCGTGAGAATTCACCAGCTTGTCTGATAACCTCTGAAAAGGGTGCCATTTGCCTGTGAATCACCATGATTACTGATAAAGGAAATGGACATATAATACATTACACACCAAGACAAAATGGTCATCAGTTACTCTGGTTTTCAAGACAGTTAAACTCATAATGAAACTATAATAGATAAGACAAAATTTAATTGGAGAAATCTTAATTATCCTGTGTGCAATCCAATTGCAAGCTACTGTTACTCAGGCAACCATATGTTATTCACGAAACTAATGGCAGACAGGGACCATAATTTGGCAAATTGTAAGTGAAAATCAGTACACTATATTTTCCAATAAATAAGCTTCATTTAACTGTACAATGTAAAAAAGGTGAATTAGGCCCTGCTGCACCATACAGGTATTAATCTTGTCAGAGATGAAGAGGAAAAAGTACTGGTCTACCCATGTTTGCCATGGAACATTATCCCATTTGCTCATACAAGAACAGCAACATTCTTGTTACCCTGAATCAGCAGTATTGCATATATATATATAAGTTAAACTTTCAGAGACAAGCCATCACTTCTCTGTCGTAAAAATAATTTTCTTCACTTCTTTTTTTAGTTTTCTTTGTCACAGGTATCTCCTACGTGCCGTTAAAACTTGGCATTTTGTCTTTGTTAAAAATGCCTTCATTTCTTCAAGTTCACGAATTGAAAATATTCTCGTTTTTGAAGAATACTGTCAACTGCTACAGAAAAAGTATTTTGCATGAACTGTGTGCTGCAAATTCAGGTATAAAACATATGGCATACATTTAAGAGAAAAAGAGATCATCTTGCTACAAATGAAGAAAACATAATATGATATCAGCTGTAATATATAGCCATAGTGACTTATTAAATGATTGACATTCACTCGGAGAAAATCTCAAATAAGTTTGATTACATTAATAAGGCTCATTAACGTGCAGTCAGTGGGTCTAATGAATAAGACTTGCACTGGATTTGAAACCTTAAAAGCTAAAGGGAGTTTTATACCAAACAACCCTTGTCTCCACTTTACACATGGTAAAACTAAAAATTTCCATATTCAATACCATACTTGGGTCTCTTCAGTCTTAGGTACTGGATACAACAGTTATTTGGCACATACAACATCTTACTTATCACAAATACTCAACGTATCTTTCAATATTGCTTTGGGGATGAAGATCCTGTATGACGAATATGAGCCTAGTGCTCAACTACATACAAATAAGTATGCCATTTATTCTATGTTAACTCAAATCTACTCTATCCTTATGTTAAACCATTTCTATATTCAAACACACTCCAAAAGATTTTTTCTAGTAGTTTCAAAATAATTTGTGATCCAACTTTTGATGGCATACATTATAACATTCTCTCAATATAAGACATGCAGTGACAATGAGGGCAAAGACATCACAAAACACATCATTTAAATCATCAGATGGGGGTATATTTGATTTCATTTGGTAACATTAATTCATGGTATTTATCTCTTAACATATGATCAAAATGTGCTACTTGTCATCAGCCTAGCTCAACTAGAAGTGGTTTATGGAGTTAATGTGTGTCTGATATCCTACACTTAGTCACTTTAAAATTCAATAATTAAATATTGGTCAACACAACAAACACTTTCCGTGTGCTCTTGCTCACTTAGTTTTTATGCTTCAAAAAATTATTAAGGATGCATAAAGTAAGTGCCAAAATTGGGATGTTGGGGACTTGTTGAAATGGTTAGTAACAAAAGTGCTATTAAGTACTTTTGATGATTAAAACATTCTGTTGGCTTTATTTTCACATCAAACCTATATTCAAGTTTAAACACGTTATTCATTAGGTGGTTCTAGTAAAGTGCGGGATACTGTGTGCAGAGATGACAGAGACTGTTCCCCCTGACTAGATATATACAATGTATTCCGCCCATGTATTGCCAAGTTCTGCTACAATATACTGCAAACTCTGGTCCTCTGTCCCTGCCCCATGTTCTCTTTGCCTATTGCAACTGTGCTGTTATTCCTACTCCTGTTGCCATCATAGTTTGATTCATTGGAATTTCGTTTGTGAATTCGATGGAGCACTATTCTATAGGTCCCTGTTATACTATTTTTTGAGTCTTTGTTCTCCATCTGCTTAAACATGTCTTCTCCTATTCCTAGGTCAGATAGAACTTTTCTAGCCTCCTTCTCTTCCTCATTCAGGCCTTCCTTCTGAGGACTGGGATAAAGTTCATAGCGTTCCAGCGCCGGAGGGAACTCCTCCCCTTTTAGCCAATCACACTGCTGAAGCTCCCGTATTGTCAATCTCTCCTTTGGATTTTGTCTCAATATTCCCTGAATCACCTTCTGGCAATCACTGCTGATAAAACTTGGAATGATAAAATTTCCTTCTAAAATGCATCTCTTTAACTTGGCCACAGTGTCTGCACGGAATGGCATAATCCCTGTGACCATAAAATACAGTAATATTCCAATAGCCCAAATATCTACATACACTCCTATATAGTGTTCATCTTTAAACAGCTCGGGGGCTGCATAAGGGGGGGAACCACAAAATGTATTCAGGCAGTTATCTGGACGGCTGAAAGTACTGAAGCCAAAGTCCCCCACTTTGACCAGGTTGGGGCCGGCATAAAACACATTTTCTGCCTTGAGATCCCGATGAATGATATGGTTGTCATGCTAGAGGAATTTAAAAAAGAAATGGTATTAGGCTTAAAATCAAATGTATTTATACAGATTTTGTGAAGTTACATCCAGTCTATAATGACTTCATACACATTCATACAACATATCAACACCCCAAACATTTGCCAAAAAAATTTAAGAACAACTAGTTGAAAAGAAAACAGCAAATAGATGAATTCCTTGAAGGCCCCACACAAAAATATTTCAAAATACCACAATACTTACATTTTTTTTCATTTTTATTGGAAAAATAAATAAATAAATAAATGGAACTTTATTCTGTCCATACTTACCATATGTTCCACAGCGGCATGGACTTGAGCAAATATAGAACGTGCCTCACTCTCTGGAAGCTTTCCTTCTGTTGTGATCTTGGTAAACAGCTCCCCTCCATTGGCATACTCCATCACAATGTGGAGTTTGGCCAGAGTCTCCAGGACCTCATACAGACGGATGATATTGGGGTGGTGGAGACGCTCCATACTGGAGATCTCCCGCGAGAGAAGGCGCTGGGTTTTCTGGTCAAGCTTGGTCTTGTCTAATATTTTGACTGCTACTTTTTCTGGAATAGCACAGATTATTCTTTTAACTGAATACAGACATTTTTGAAGTCCATAAGTGAAATCTGAAATTTGGACTTTTGCAAAACCAATTTTATCTCATTTATATTAGGGGAAAAGTAAATGTCATACTCAGGATATGTTGTTTTTTGACTATGTACAAAATTTGGGTTTAAATCAATACAAATTACTGTCATTCACTGACACATCACAGGCCCGTAGCCAGCAATTTCAAAAGGGGGGTTCGTTTTCTGAAAAAGTGGACCTTTTCCCATGAAAACTTCATGTACCTAGATCAAATTTTACCCAGAGTGGACCTTTTCCCAGCAAAAGGGGCGGTTCTTTCGAACCCCCCGAACCCCCCCTGGCTAAGGGCCTGCATCAAAATATATCAAGATGAAGGGTGTTTTTCATTATCACAACATTGTGGTATCAAATAAGGCAATACAAACCTTTTGTAAGAGAGTGTATAGCCATTTTGACTTGTGAGAAATTCCCACTCCCAAGTTCTCCACGTATTCTATAGAATCCAATCCTTTTTCCTAGAGTAACTTCTTTAATACAACGTTGGTCATTCACAAGGTCGTGGGATAACCTCTCATATGGGGTCACTTTTCTTACAGGCGCTGCCGGATTGTCATTCTCGTCATTATTTTCTGTGGCTGTGCTGTATCCAGACACAGTGGATTCACGTTTCTGGATCAGAACTTTTTCTGTCATGGTGAAGGAATGATGATGATGATGATGATGCTATGACAACCAGAAATAACCAGGAGGCAGAAGCAATACTGCTGTGACAGCTTGGAGTTTCAATGTCCCCATCACAGGCACACTCCAGGGGGCTGGCTGAGGTCACTGGAGAAGAAAAATGACACATTTATGAATTTGTAACATTGTACATTGTAGATATTTGGATTGATCTTCACCTATGAACAACCTTGGTGAGCACACTAATCATGAAGTCATTTGGTTTTCAAGTCAGAGAACAAAATGTATTTTAAGTACACCTGATAAATTAAGACAAACTTTATACTGCAAAATACAGCGTACCTTTCCATGCCCCAGGAAAAATAAGTTATCACATTAATAAGATCATCAAAAAGATTGGACAAAGATGCTACAAAATTATAAATGATGTGATATTTTTTCATACAAATTGATGAAACTGCCACAGGATATTTGGCTGTTTTGAAAATTTTTTCTAAAAGTCTACTGTGATACAGGAAGGAAAACCACAGCATAAGCCGTACCTGTTCAAAAAAATTTAATCAATTTCCATTTTTGCTAAGCTTTAGTAACAGCCATCGCAACGGTGTTGATGGTGTTATGTTTTCCTGCGCCAATCAATACAGATCTTCTATAAATTTCCTGTCCTTCAAACAGCACTTGGTTCACATCTAAATTTTCGTGGAGATGTTAAAACTAATCCCTTAACTGCTAACTTAAATGTATACCATATTCAAAACAGATCACTGAATTATGATCCATAAACCTTTTTTTTTTGTTTTAAATCTTTAAGTTTTTGAGCCACTCCTATTAAAGACCCTTTTGAGTTCCACACTGATGGTAAAAATTACAAATTCAGCTCTTGAAAACATATTTGTAGATCCTAATTTTCTCAAAATACTTTGGATAAGGTATACCTTAGTGATAAAGGGAAATTGTCAGAATTTCCAGAAAAATTAATTTACAGTTTCTGTATTATTCACATTCAATACGTTTTTTGTAATTTTCAACAACAGCTACAGAGGTGTTGGGTTGGAGTGCAGTCTGTATTTGGTTCTTGAAGTGGAAGTATTGGAGCAGAAAATGAATCTCATCTTCCACTCCATCTTTGCCAAGTGCACATTTTCTTCACAGGATGGACATAACATGTACCAAACCCAGTGTGCATTCAGTTGTTGTGACTTAGCAAGGTTAAAAATCACTGCAACATTATCCAGCAGTACAATGTGCAATCCCCCCATATATTCAAATCAATGCTTTGGAGATATCTGCCTTGTGCACTTACCAACAGTAAACAGGCCATGGGCTTGTGTTGCCAACATAAGCTAGACTACACCTCAGAATCAATAAAGGCATTGTGAAATGGTCAAAGAGTTAACACAATTAGTCTGTGGTCCCTTTCAAGACAATTGGAGTGAAAAAGTCTGGGACTGTTTTTTTAACTGGTCCATTAAAAATGGTTAAAATATTTTGTCGATAAAAAACTATAATTTGATCAATATATTTGCAAGAAGTTCTAAGCAAGAAGTCTTTAGTTTTACCTTTATGTTTTTTTTTCTTTTAATTTCCCTATGGTTATTTTCATATTTTTAAAAAACTTTCATTAACAGAAATAAACCTAGTTAAATAAGTTATATATAAATTTGAGCTTGTCAACCACTAATCCTAGTCTTTTTTTAAATAAATGATCGTTGATACTCTCAAGTGTCCTTAGATATTCATGCACTGAGGAGCCCCTGCAGACATGCTGAAACTGTAGGTCCGATCGGTCATGACCGGCAAAATTTGTCTGGACCAGTAAAAAATTGGACCAAAAAGAGTTTTAAGAGCTGCAATTTTGAATTTACAGTCATCATTCGACACACTTCACTAATAAAATTGTATAGGACCCAAATCGTGTTTTCCCTTCCATTTCAAACCCTAACATTCACAAACAAAGTAAGCTACCCTAATAATACTGGTAGTATCTAACTCAAACGAATAGGGTGATTTTTGGTCCGACAAAAATCCATTCGGTCCGGCAAATTTTTCATTACTGCCGGTCCAAATGTCCGACCATTCTGAATAGTTTTCAGCATGTCTGCCCTGTGTTCACAGGTTGGTGTTCACAAGTTGGTGACCCCAGTATGGGCACCAGTATTTGTGCATGCACACTAAGGGCTCTTTTCCACTGAAACTATCATTCCACGTAGATCAATCCAACTTCACAGGGAATCTAGCTGAATGCAAGCAGATTAAGGGGACTTATAGTAAAAGGACCAAAGTCATAGAAACAAAGCCCTGGGCTTGTAAGTTTTAATAAAAAATTAAAACAAACTTCCCAAAAGGCCAATTAAAGGCGGGGATTAAGTACAGTGTCCAACGGATGACGCTCTGGCGCCAATTTGAGGGGAAAAATGCCGTTTTCGGTATTGGGATTTTCTCTATAACCAAGACAGCTATTCAAGTGATTCAAAAGGCCTCATAAAGCTGGGTGAAAGCACTACAGCGCGGTACCAGGGAATTGTCTTTAACTATTTACTCTTGATTTTATCATCTTTTACGTTAAATCAGCCCATATTTCAATGGGTTATTCACTTTAAAAGGCGATAACTTTCAAACAAACAATTTCCTCTTAAACCCCTGATATCATGCTGTAGTCCACATTCCTAACAACAATAGGTGCAACTTTTGTAACGATCGGTTGCTCAGATAGTGAGATATACTCGGCAGCGATTCACTTATCTCGTCAATATAGA